GAAAAATGAAATAACCGCTTTTTTTTTTCTCCAAACAGTTCGGTTGCCCTTGAGCAAGTGCCTGCGGCGTTCGCGGCCACATTAGCGCTCAAAGTAGCGCTAAAGACCATGTTGGATCTCATCATGGCCTTATTTGCACTTCAGGGAGCTATAAGACGGTTGATGCAGACTGTAGCATCCCTACCGTCATGTTAAATGACACTGAAGCTGTTATGGCAGGAATTTATAAATTCTGCCTACCAAGGTGTGTGGGGGGGAAAAAAACAACAAGTGCGTGCATTTTTTTTTTTCTCCCACAGACGGTTTCACAAATTAGCTCGCACGCATTAAATGGTGCGAGAGCCTCGGTATAAATTATTTGTCTTTGTTTATCTTGCAGTCATAGCATAGCACCAGAACAAAATGGAAATGCAGACATGGCATATCTTTGTACTCGTGTTGCAGAAGAAAAGAAATGTTGCTTTGCTTGCACTCATTAATCCAAAATAGATCAGACAGCATGTGGAGATGAATAATGTTTTTTTAATATTTCTTTTTCCCTTTACAATCCCCCCCTCGCGCACACAAGCTCAATATTTACCTATGCTTCAGGAAGGTTACAATACGAGATGTGGAGAAGGAAGCACTTTGAGATGTATGCATCGACCGTATGTAGTTCTGATGATAATTTAATGCAAAAATTAACATAGACACGCTCTGGTGTGTAAACAGATGGCTTCATCCGTCTGATATGGCAAAGAAATCTCCAGCTATGATCGGGTGTTTAAAATATTTTATTATTAAAGCTAAATCTCTTCATCTAGATCTAATTTTTAGCATGGTGCTCAATATTTACATGAAAAGACCTTGGTAGCATCAGTTCAGTCTCATGCAAACCACTAAAAGAGCCCTCATTGAAGCTACAGGAATAAATCAGGCAGGCTGTTACGCTGCTCATAGTTTACTGCAGGAGCATCTTTGTATACGTCAACTCTGGAGCAACAGAGCATAAATCCCAAACGGTTGTGTGGAGTATTGAATTTGGTGTTTTTTTTCTTGCATTCTGTCCATCATGTGGCAAAACATAAAACTATTTGCTTGTTTATATCACACAGGTGCTTTAAAACTTTGGCGGTTTGGTGGTGAAAAGTATACGTACCGAGATAAGTCAGTTTGTGGCGACAGATCTGGTGACCGTCCCACATTGTTGGTTTTTAAGGCTCGCTGAAGTCTGAGTGTGTGTGTGTTGACATTTTAATGCAAAAGACAACGCCAAGTCATTCGCAAGGACAACCAAATGTTATCTTGTAGTTTCCAAACATCTGCCTTCCCCGACAAACGAGCGGCGGTGCGTTCAGGCGAAAGTCGCTGCTTGATAGGCAAACTAGTTGATCCGTAACACCTGTACCGACTGTGTTCTCCATCGTCCTCCTCCTTCCTCCAGCGCTTGTTTTGCATCCTGCGCGCTGTCAGAACTGACAAAAATTACATCTTATTAGTAATGTGAATTATGTTTCTAATGGCCAGCACTAATTACTAGTGATTTGGCTGCTGAAATTACAGCTGGCACTGATGCGTTTAACGCTGTGCTCTTGAAATAGATTTTTATTATTGCTGACAGGGTCAGATTTTGGTAAGACGGGGGGCGGAAAGAAAAGAAGCTCAGAAATACAGATTTCTGACTAATGTGAGGCAAGATAGAAACCAGCCTAAAAGCTTGAAACACTTTATATTAACCCAGAGACCGAGCAGCCAGCGAGGCCTTGAAGTAAAGCTGGATATACTGTTGCAGCATTTTGTCAATTTCCTATATTTACACCGATTTGCTGCTGCGGTGTCGACTCCGTTTCCAGTTTGTTGTGCCTTTTTAAAATGAGAAGTAGTAGCGCTTCTTAAAGGAAGAGGACTCGAGGGTTGTGTTGAAAATGCGAAGAAGGCAAAGGTGGACGCTAGTAACGGTAGAAAAACATACATCATATCCAGTTCCACAGGAAAAAACAGCTTCATGTTTTCAACTGATTTAACTGTGAGGTTTGATGTTCAGGGGGCTGCCCCAAGAATACGCAAATTCCACATTAATGCGTTTGGAAATCGAACTGATGCACAATACTGTTTGGGTGTGAGATGAGTTTTATGGGTCCAAGGTGCTGCGGAAGCTTAGATGAGTTTTTCATATTTGAAGCCAGCTTCGGGAGAATTCAAGCAGCCACACAACTAACATTTCAGCTTTTGGTTTAGGGATGTTATGCATGACCTATGAGTGGACCTCTTGCCAGAACTAAAAGGCGTTTGGCAGCGTATTTAGTGGGAGAATAAGAGAATATTTCCAAAAGTACAGAAAATAAATATATTTTGGCTGCATCACTTTGCTTTCTTTTCAGTCTGTCTTTAGTGTAACTATCGAATAATGAAAAAAATAATAGTAATTACCTTATTTTTAACATATCACCTAGAAAAATATGTTGTAACACGTCTCTTATTTATACGTGCATATTAAGTAGCAAAGAGAAACACAAAACTGTTTGAGTTCAAGTTAAATTTTCTGGATCTAAAGTGTTGTGGAAGCTCAGATGAGTTTTTCATATTTGAAACCACCTTTGAGAGAATTCAAGCAGCCGAACAACTAACATTTCAGTCTTCAGTTTAAGGATGTTATGCATGACCTATGAGCAGACCTTTTGCCAGAATTAGAAGGCATTTGGCAGCGTATTTAGTGGGAAAATAGGAGAATATTTTAAAAATACAGGGAAAAAAATGAATATTTTGGCTGCAGATTTGTTGCACACCATCGCTCTGCTTTCTTTTAAGTCTGTCTTTAGTGGAACTATCTAAAAATGCAAAAAAAGAGAAAAATAAATCAACAGTAAGAACCTTATTTTTAACATATCACCTTGAAAAATGTGTTGTATCACGTCTCTCATTTACCCGTGCATATTAAATACCAAAGAAAACACAAAACTGTTTGAGTTTAAGTTGAATTTTCTGGATCTAAAGTCTTGTGGAAGCTTAGATGAGTTTTTTAAATTTGAAACAAGCTTCGGGAGAATTCAAGCAGCCGAACAACCAACATTTCAGCTTTTGGTTTAGCGATGTTATGCATGACCTATGAGTGGACCTTTTGCCAGAATTAAAAGGCATTTGGCAGCGTATTTGGTGGGAGAATAAGAGAATATTTCAAAGTACAGAGAAATATTTTAGCTGGAGATTTGCTCCATCTCATCGCTCTGCTTTCTTTTCTAAGAGTTTCTGTCAGTTTTTGCTGCGACTATCTAATAATGACAAAAAAACGACTGCAAAATAAGAATATTCTGAAAAAAACTGAGCAGCAACAGCGCTGCTTTTAACATTTCCCCAGAAAACACACACACGTCTCATGCATATTTGCTATTTGGCTGAACAACTGGTCAGATTGAGGACGATAATACTCCCTACATGCGTAATGACTCGTACGCCGGCAGGCCTACGCTCCCAATCCAACTTTTTGCACAAAGAGGCCCTCCAGCTGCGCCCCTCAACTTTTCCCTCTCTGGTGTCTGTTGCCTCTCTTTTAGAGGCTGCTGTCAGATAATTACTTCTTCAATTGGTCCAGAAGGGCACTTCTGCCACCGAGGAGGGGAAGCAACAGTCTCTCGAGCCGCTATAGCCCCAGTGCACCGCGGGTCACGGAATGGAAATCATGTTTACGCTCTCGAGTGAATACATTACCACAATAAGGCATTGATGTATCATAGGACAAGCGCGCGCTGCACGCTCGCTATTCATTACAGCCTTGAAAACAAAACCGTAGCCTAAGGCCCCAGTGATGGGGCTTGATAAGTCCTTGGAAGACGTGTCACCTACACCGTGTCCTCTCAGTCTGCCGGCATTATCTGCTTAAACTTTTATCATGTCGGAATCATTAGGAAGCCAAATCCTCTCCCTTAAGATGGTCCCGACAAAAAAAAGAAAAAAAAAAAAGGTCCGAGGATCTCAGTTTTTTTTTTTCCTCATATGTTGAAGAATCAGTCAATTATTTTGAAGCAGTGCAGCAGCCCAGGATTAAGCTTAGGAGTGCAGCAGACAGCAGCGCTCCCTCGCCCCGCTTTAGCCTCGGAGACTTCCACAAACAGCGCTGCTTGTCAGGGCTGATTGCGGTGGCACTGGGGCAGATAAGTCAGTCTTACTATTATCCTATGTAAGCTAGGAGTGCCAAATTACAACTTTAGCCTTAAAACCCCCGCAGAGTTTGCTTACGAATGTCTTAAGCCACAGCAGCGAATAAAAAAAAAAGAGATGGGTTTGGGGACACACACACAGAAAAGTGTGTGTATACATCTGTCTGGATTCACTTCATCCTAGTGGGTCTCTGCTGTCTTTTTATTGCTGTCAGCATCTTCCCTGCCTCATAACTATGATGTTCTGACAGCTTTACAAGGTCTGTAATTTAAATTTATCTCCGCCACGCCATCGATTCTCACGCTGCCCCCCACCTACCCCCAACCCAGATGTCATGTGTGTCTGGCTGCGGTCTAACATGTGGTGGCACAGCTCCATTAGCATGTATGGATTTTTCCCAGCACGCCCGCCACTGTTTATATCTTAAAACGCTAACAAACAGGGACAGTTTTACAACAAGAGCATTATTAGATTAAAGTGGCGAGGCTCTGGGGGCAAAATGAGAACAGGCAATTTTGCAGCACTTCTTCAGGAATGTTGTATGTAAATGTGTTTTTAAAAAAGGGACGGCACCAAAAGATTGGCACCTTGTTTAGATACCTGCATCAACAATAAGACGTCCATTGTGGTGTTTTATTCGCCATTCCCCCGGCTGGAGCGGCTTTAACTTCCTCTATGTTCTTTTTCTGTTCTCTTTTCTGCCCTTTTATCTCCCTCACATTCTTCTGCTCCCTCCATTTACCACCAGTTCAATTTCTTCCCGAGCTCCTTACTATGTGATTTATGACTTCTGCTGCACCATAAATAACTGCAGAGGATGGGAAAAAAAAAAGAAAAAGAGCCTTTTTTTTTTTCTTTTCTTTTACCTTGCCCACGTACTGCGGGTCGGACCCCATGTACTCCTCCAGCACGAAGAACTGGTTCCACACCCAGCCCCTTTTGACCCGCTGAAATCCAGCCGCCCCATTCCTCATCGGGCCCGCCGAGCTCCTGGCGTGCTCCCTCCCCGTCCTGCTCCGTCCCAGCGGCGGCGAAGGCGGACGCAAAGACGAGACCGAGCCCTCGTTGACAAGACCCCACAGGAACAGCAGCAGGCAGTTCCTTGTTAGCATTGGCGATCTGTGAGGTTCAGGTGCCCCAAGTTAAAGTCCAGCGACGGGTAACTGAGCCACAATGAAACTTGATGTCGATGATGGTTATGAGGAGGTGGGGGAGGGGAGGGGAGGAGGAGGTGCTGGGTGTGGCAAACCCAAAAAGCAGTTTTTTGTCTTTTTCTTCTTGGGTCTGTCAGGATCAGGTGTTTGTGGAGCTCATCACCTGAAAGGAAAGAAAAATAATGTTAATGAGGGAATCCTTCGTATAGGGATCGACCGATAAGTGTTTTTCTGCTCAAGACAGACTGATATTTGGATATTATATACAGCACATGAACTGTTTTACCAGCGTGTGATCGCAGGAAAACCTGTAATTCACAACTTTGCTAATAAGGGAGGCTATAACTGAATATGTAAATAGAAACAGGAGTGATTAAGACGCTCTGCTCTGTTAATGTGGCATCGACTGAGATCGATCAGTTTGTCTGCTGCAGTTACGTCTGCTATTCTTCTCTATTTTCTCCACCTTTCAGCGTTCTATCATTTTAATTGCCCACTAAAGTCCAGACCTTATTATTAATTATTCTTTTCCAGACTGTTTTCTAACTTAGCTGAGCATTAGCCACCGGGAAGGAAAGCGGTGGACTTCCTGGTTTGTGACGACAGCTTTTGTTTTGGTTTTTTTAAAGGTATTTTTTTGGCCTTTGTGACTGGAAACTGTGGGAGAAGAATGGGGGAAGGACATGTAGGAAAGGGCCACAAGCGGGATTCGAACTCATGACCTCCACATCGGGGCTGTAGCCATGCACATGGGACGCCAGCTCAACCAGGTGAGCTACAGCGGCGCCCCCAGCTTTTGTTTTTCATTTAGTTTTTGCAGCATGAATGACAGCAGACAGAGATGCATCAAAACACTGCATCTAACGTGGCGGCAATCTGTAAACGACACACTGATAATCTGCCCCGATAATCACTCGATCCCTATATCTGTCATCACTCCTGCATTACCTGCACGGCGTATTAATAACGCAGCATTATTACTCCCAATTAGACCGTCTCGCTGCGCCCACGATCCGCATCTACAGCAGGTACGAGGTGTCGTGTAACTTGCCGTGGTAGCACTTTGTGGCCTTTTCCGCCAACAACTCCCTAACTGCTCGATGATGAATGGTTGTACTTTCACTCTCAAGCATAAAAATAAGTGTTGTAATTATTTGCCTGGTGATAGATTACCTGCACGCCAGACAGTTCTCACGGATGCATGCTCTAATTAGCGAGATTACTTGTCTCTGTAGTTGGGGGGGAAAAAAAAAACTGCGACTTTATTTTTGCTGTCAATTACAAGCCACCTCACGCTGTGCCGCCGAACCTGTCGGTGTTTCTGCGGCGCCTTGATTGCCCATAGAGGTTGAGAGTCATGTATTATTTAATGAAGCTTTAATAAGAGGGTGCTGATGAGCTTCATGGTTTGCTTCACAAAACCGTTTTTTGATCAAAACCTTATCTGCTTAAAAATAGAGCCGAACCCTCCTCCTCAGAAGAAGAAATAAAAGTTGACACAAACGTGCTGCCGTTACATCAGCAGGCAAACAACTGGAGATAAAGCGTGACGCATTGGCAGTTCATACATCAAATTGACACGTGTAGTGCAGGAGACGTCGGCGCGAAGCAGCGATTTCTTTTAAGATACGTTGCTTTTCTCTCAGACATCAACTTCGCCGAGGAGCACAGTTTGACAACCAGTGGCCACAGGAGATCCAGCCCACTGCTGCACCGCGCCTTCTGACAGACATGCATTCTGCGAAAGTGACACCTCGTATGAAAGATAACCAAATATATAATCCAATTCGCGCGCACATAATTGCATATTTTATGTATTTATTACGCTTTTTGTCAGCACATAAATCAGCAGAAGTGCAAATTGGCTGGGATGCATACGCCGAGTGTGAATTTGCAGGAATATGGTTGCAGAAAATGAGACGGAATGATGAAATGTTTGTCAAGATCGCTTTGAAATGACTTGATCAACTATTTCTGGTCAACTTAAGAGTAATTACCGAATGCAATTTGTCCGTCTTTGTTGGATAAACCACAGAAAACGCAGGATCAACAAGGTATGTAAATGATTTGCCTGTGTTTAGCAACGTCAGGTGAGTTATGTGGCATTATAACGATGATTACTGAAACACAATGACCCCTGCGTGGAAGAGAATGAAATATTACAGAAGCAACCTCATTTGTTAGACCTCATTCATTATAGAGCGTTTGCGCCGTCGCCGTTCGCACCTTGTTTACAATCTCGACTGCGACGTCAACACTCGAGCATTCAGCTCTGGCCTTGTTACGAGACACTTAATTGAGCTGAAAACAAGAGAAGGGGAACCACAAACGGTTGGAATGAAGAATGGAGCTAATGGTTTCCACACCTGGTTTATTGTTCCTCGCTCCCTCCTAATGCACTTATAAGCTGTACAGTAATGGAAGACAGCGTGCCTCTAATTTCATAACTGGGGCCCTCATTGACATCATTGTCTTTGATTAATTATACAGACTTGGAACATCGGCTTCAGAGGGAGATTGCTTCAACAAGGTTATGCCGTGCACCCGGATCCATTCATTCTCTCTGTCACCGCAGTATCTTAAAAGTCAAAACTGATCTGCAAAAGTTCTCCGTGCAAAATTGGCAGGAACTGCCTTGACACGGGTCAGACATGCCTCTCCCGCAGGTCACTCCTCATTTAGCATCGACATAATGGAAAATGACTGTTCCCATAATTCCTGCAAAATCACGCTTCTGCCACTGTACGGTCCTGGGAGGGCCGGATGCATATTTTATGAGATAAGTTCATTAGCATATGTCGAGCTTCGGTTTGCGAGCCTTGACCCGTGTGTCTACTTCAGATAACACAACGCAGCGGGCTGACAGTGTTCTCACACATCACCTTCAATAATCAAAGAACATATGGCTCGCCGATCTGCCGCCGCAGATTACCACCCACAAGAAACTCCCACAGAAAGTTATTAGTCGTCAAGGCTGCCATAAACATGACAAACAAATAAGTAGGCATTGACTCCTGGAATGGAGGGGAGAAATGAGTCATGTGGATCAAGTTGTTGTTTTGTGTGCACTTTCATTTCCTCATAGATAAAAGGGTGGAAGTTGTTTTATATATGTGTATATTTATTTATTTATTCTTTAACAGCTGCTGCAGTGTTTTGCATCAGGAACCGACATTATCATTCAGAGACACAGAAGTAGTTGTTTTAACAAGGTTAGGGACCTTCCTGCTCGTGATTCAGTGAGGAATTTATCGTTGGGTGTGAAGCAGAAGCATAGAAATAGATTTTTTAAAAAATGTAAAATCGGCAATATTTCATTCTTATTAAATGGTTTCATGTGCTAATTTTCCGAATAATCAACATCAGGTCATCAATTTTTATAGATATTTCCAGTTATGCAACAATACAAAGCTTTAAATAGTGTGTGTAAGGCAGAACAAGGAATATATTCTAGATAATTCAGTGTCTTAGGGCTCATTTTGTGTAATATCTAGCATAAATTATGCGTCACGGACTTGGAGATGGGATGTGCTGAGGTCTTTTGAGGAGTGCGGCGATGGGCACATGTGTTGCCGGTCCAGAACTGACCTGGGAAATTATCTGCAGTGATGCAATTTCTACTTTACAAATTGAATTATGTGCATAGGTGTCATGAATCATTCCCCGCAACAGAAGTGCAAGGATGTCTCGGAAAAAAAGCCTGTAAAACTCTGATCTGGACCCATCTGGACTAGCTGCCTTTCTGGGGGGTAAAACACTTTAATGGCTTCTCGTCGCTCAAAATCCAGATCTTTCCTGTGTAGGTTGTTGGACTTTGTCAACTTAGAGTATGTCACAGTTTAAATTTGAGTAATATCTTGCCAGTTAGCTTCCAAAGGATCCAGTCGTATTCGTATAGTCTGAGTAGCTTTGTGAAGTTCTTTTGCAGTCGGCGGTTCTTTCATATTCTCCTCAGTCTGCCTCGTCTCAGCCTTTATCGAATGTTGTTGTGTGAAGATGTACTTTTCTTCAAACACATACTTTAAGTGTTTCCCCACAGTGCCGAGTCCTTCACCTCTCCATTATTGTCAGTCTCAAGCAATTGAACGGCGCGCCTATCTAAATATGAATCCAGATAAGACCTGAAATCTCCCTCCAATCACTGTGTGCGCAAGACTAACAATCAACAGTTATCTGTCGCAGCGAGGAACAACTGGGAAAGGACTTAAGGTCACCGCATTTGTGTCTTTGCACACAAATCAAAGGTTCCTGTAGCGTATTAGTGCAGGTAGCGTTTGTTTTTCCTAACGTATAATTGCAGGAGCAGCGAGAAGGAGGCTTTTCTGTCTCTGCAGCACTGTCACCGCTACGATCAAGATTGTGACCTCAGATGAACCGAAGCTCTGACTGATGAGAAAATATTGTGCCCTAATGCTGAAGAGAAGTGTGGAAAGAAAAAAAAAAAAAGTGTTAATCAGGGAAATTGCCGTGAAGGCTTTGTTTTTGCACGGCTAAGGCAGACGAAGGCAGTAATATCGTTGAAGCCCTTCAGGGAAAGGAGTGGGAGGAGAGAAGTGTAGGTGGAAGCGATGTAATGAAAAAGGGAGTAGCAACACAGCTGGCCAGTCAGGCTAAAGCACAAACAAAGTAATGAATAGAGAACAAAATGACTCTGTTAGTTACACAGACAGATTTGCTCGGTGAAGCTGTCCGTGTCAAAAAAAAAAAAAAACGCTTTGTTCACGTCTGAAACAACACGTGCTGCTGGAGTCGGAGCACTGCGGTGAAGATGTGGTCGGAAAAGGGGGAATATAATATGCATCGTTCCATGAACAGTGGAAACATTAATATGATGTGATAAGTCCTCTACCTTACGTTTTTTCCTTTTTTTTCTTACATCCCGTGCACATGATGTTTTGGGGGAGCCTTCAGGATGCCTTCAACTCACATCACGTCTGAGCAGCTGTTGGATTTTCTGG